ATAATGTTAAGGGTATTATTATGTTAAAAACTGTTGGATTGTGTCAAGTTAGGCTCGGCCACAACCATTTGCACTGATACGACTCAGTTTTTTTGTTCCTGTTTCGAGCCCAACCATTTGCACTGATAGGATTCAATTTTTTGGTTCCTGTTTTTATTTACTATATTTTTTGTTTTAGTAACTGACAAACGCCAATCAAGTAAAGAAAAGTAATACAGTCATGAACAATAATATGTATTATTATACATGTATTGAAAGAAAGGAAAGCTATTATTGCTTCCTGAAAATAATTAGAACAGAATAAGTAAAAAAATTTATATACAAATTTATGTCTCAATTACATCATAAATTTGAACTTTTGAGTTATTTCATGCACTCGTGAGAAAATTTTCGGATTCCGTCTTGTAATGTTTCCTCACACAAACTTGTAGTTTATTTCACGGCACATGTTAACAACAAAAATAAAATAGCATTATAATCGTGAGAATTAATTTTTTGAATATAAAAAACTAAGGTGTTGTTCTTTTGGAAAAAAATTCAGAAAAAGTTTGAACTCGAGTTACAATTTTATTTAAGTTCATGTTCTTTTGTAAAATTTGAGTTTGAACTCGAGTTTGAACTCAAATTTAAACTCGAGTTTGGGGCTAAACTCGAGTTCAAATTTTCTCTTCAACTCGAGTTCAGAAACTCGAACTTAAATTAATAAACAATATTTTTTCTATTCTTAAAAATGCCATAACTTTTTCGTTTTAATTTTGATTGAGATGATTTTTTTTCTATGCATTCACAATGAAAAGACGAATAAAACCCCACCCATATGCCTTATTAAAAATTTTCATCACCATTGAGTTTTTATTAAAATACTATCTAAATAGAAATTTAAATTTTGACTCACCCAAACACAAACTCAAAAAGATTCTCAATTCAAATCATAACTCAAATGTACACATCCAAACACAAACTCAAGTTACAACTTCAACTCAAATTATAACTCAAACTCAACTCAAAATCATCACTCAAATCACCTTAACTCAAAAATACAAAAGAACAACCCCTAAATTTTTTATAAACAAAGACATTAATTTGTAGTAAGGCGTAGAACAATGTATAAATATAAAACGTTAGCCAATAAAGTAAGAATAGCAGTGAATGACCAAAGGTGGATTGGAAAGAAAGAATAGTCAAGCGCAGGCAACAAACGTTAGTGAATGAAATAAAAATAGTAGTGAATGAGCAAAGGTGGAATGGAAGGGAAAACTGGTCAAGCGCAAGTAACAAAAACAGGAAAATACAAAATGGAGTTATATATAGGATATCTAGCAATATACACGGCTGCCACCTCTGTTATCAAGGAGTTTATGCCATAAGTAAAAAAATTTAGTATACATTTGGTTCAGGTTATATTCATTTGTTGTGAAGAATATATACCATGAGTAATTGAAACGAAATTTGGCAATATACATGGCTACCAGCTACATTATTAAGGAGTTTATGCCATAAGTAAGAAAAAATAGTATAGCTTAGAATAACAATATACAGTATTATACATATACTAAGGAAAAGGAAAGATTTTAGTGTTCACTAAAAAAATCAGAAAGATATAAGTTAAAACCATAACTTTAGCCGAGAATGGACTGGATGGAAAAAAGAGAGAAACGTAGGGAAAACAAACAGAAAAATACAAAATAAAATCATATACAGAACACGGGAAGAAAAAATAGAGGAATAAGTGATAGAGCAATATAAAAAAGAGTAAGAATCAAACAATTTGTGCAATATACCTAGTTACACAAATATATCATATACTTAAAATAAATCAGTGTATAGGAAAAAAAGAGCTTTATATTATACTGTAAATTGAGTAGAGATTATAAATATATGAAGAAACATTTAGGAAGACATAAGATTATATATAAATATTTGGTTCAGGTTATAATCATTTATTGTCAAGAACATATACCTTAAGTAATTGGATACAAATTTAGCAATATACATGGCTGCCATCTACATTATTAAGGAGTTTATGCCATAAGTAAGAAAATTTAGTATACATTTGGTTCATGTTATATTCATTTGTTGTGAAGAATATATACCATAAGTAATTGAAACAAAATATGGCAATATACATGGCTACCAACTACATTATTAAGGAGTTTATGAAAATAAAATATATTGGCATAACTCTAAAATAATAAAGGCAACACCAATGATAGCCATATCTGTAATAACAATTACTCAGCATATGTTAACAACAAATGATATATAACATCATTATAACCGGAGAAGAATAAAATGTTTGGATATAAGAAACCGAGTTTTTGATAAAGGAAGGCATTATGTTGTAATAAGATTTAGAACACTGTGTAAATATCAAATGTCAGTTAATAAATTAAGAATAATAGTAAATGACCAAAAATACAATGAAGAAGAAAAAGAGTGAACTGCAAAGGAAACAAACGGCAATGCACAAAATACTATCATAGACAAAAGCAACTTTTATAAATACAAATATATAGTAAAACTAAAACAAAAGACAAATTAAAATATATTGGCATAAGTCCGAAATAATAAGGGCAACATCAATGATAGCCATATCTGTAATAACAATTACCCGACACATATTAACAACAAATGAAATATAACATCATCATAACCAGAAGAGAATAAAATATTTGGATATTAAAAACCAAATTTTTGATAAAAGAAGACATTATATTCTAATAAGATTTAGAAAACATTGTAAATATAAAATCTCAGTTAATCAAATTGAATAGAAATAAATGAGTGAAAGTACAATAGAGAAGAAAAAAAGTAAAGTACAATATAAAATATTTCATATAACGAACAAACATAACATTATAAATTAATATTGTAGAACAAATCAACCAAAGTAAATTGAAAAAGTGAATACCTGATTCAATGAACCACGGGCAAAATGATAGATCAAAGAAAGCAACCAAAATTACTAAGCAGCAGAAATAGAGCAAAGGGATATAAAGGAGGCGGTAAGGTTAGTAAGAAATGGGTAGTATCATTAAGGTCTTTAAAGAGTGAAAAAGCAGAGAGAATAGAACATGATAGATAATATTAGCTGAAAGACGAAGACAAAGAAAGAGTAAAAAATTAACATACAATATATATACAGAAAGTTACCAATGTTTTGCTTAATCTCAGATACAAATCCCTGCAAATAGAAAGTAATAGAAGTAATGATTAATTAACAACAACTGTCACATTGCATGAAGACCACCGCAAAATGTAACCAATAAATAACAGACAGTTATATTTTGGATGCATATTATACAAAGCGAAAAAATAAAAAATACACGTGTCAAAGTAAAAGATTAACATAAATATTATTACATTTAGATCATGACAAATATTAGAGATTTGTTCAAATTAATACGAAGAAATCAAAATATAGTAAATAAAAATAAGAACGAAAAATTTAATAACATGAATAAAAAAATTTGAAATTTCGAAAAAAAAAGTTAAAATTTTTTCACAAATATAACAGCCGAATAGCAAATAAATAAAAAAACATAAACAAAACAACATGAAAAACGAACATAGATATGAAGTAAACGACCAAACAGCCTAAAAAAAAGCTAATAAGAACATAGATCTGAAAGAAATGACCAAATCCATGAAATCCAAACAAAAATAATCAACCAAACCAAAGACGAAGCTAACAAATAGCGCAATGAAAGAAAAAAGGACCATGCATATACAACAAAAAAAATAAAAAAATAAAACATAAAACATCGAAAAATATATATATGCAAAAAGAAAGAAGATGAAAAACGAATAAATCTGGCCGAGAAATGAAAAAAAAAATATCTAGAAGGTTGCAGAAAGAAGAAATATGAGAAACGAAGAAATCTGGCCCAAAAATGGAGAGATCTAGAAGGTTGCAGAAGGGAACAAACGGAAGAGAGAAAAGTAAATCCATAAATGAAGAAAAAGAAACACAGATCTAGAAGATCGTAGAAACCAATGAACAAAAAAAAAACCACTCAATCTAAGTGCGCAAGAAGAAAAACAGAGCTAGAAGGTTGCAGAAGAAAACAAATAGAAGAAAGAAATGTTGCTGCAGAAATAAAAAAAATAAAAACACATATGAAGAAGATAAAAGCATAGAAACCACCAAACAAAAAAGAAAAAAAAACTCAGAAGAAAACAGACAGAAGAAAGAAATGTTGATGCATAAACGAAGAAATAAAAACACATATGAAGAAGGTAAAATCATAGAAACAAACAAACGAAAAAAAAAAACTCAATCTGAGTTAAAAAAAAGAGCTCTAGAAGGTTGCAGAACCAAATAAATGAAATAGATAAATGATTGCAGAAAGAAGGGAAGAAAAAATCGCAAAAACCAACAAACGAAAAAGAAAAAAAAAACTCAAGCTGAGGCTCAAAGAAGATAAGAGGTCTAGAAGGTTGCAGAAGAAAATAAAGGAAAGAGAAAGAAATAAATGACGGGAGAAAGAAGGGAACAAAATCAATTCGAAAAGCATCAAACGAAAAAAGCCCAAATAAAACACTCATTATGAGTATAAATGACCAAAACAGCCACAGCAAAAAGAAACAAAAGAAGCTGAACTAAAGGGCAATATAGTAAATTTACACTCAACAATACATAATGGGAATTAAAAATTCATCAAAAGAAAAATACAAGATTAAAATGAAAAATACACTTTTCATTATACTGTAGCATAAACCGTGAATTCCGTCGTCCCTTTTAATATATGTATAATTTACCATTACTATTATTTATATATACACACACGTCCAAAAGTCTTATGGGACGTTTGTTTTTTATATTCGTCACTGATTTTGAATCATGATTCATAGTTCTTTACAGTATTTTTTTCACAAAAAATACACATAAAATAAAAATACTTCTGAATCATAATTCTAAATACATAAACCAAACGTCCTCTTAACGTTTATAATAAGTTCCTGCCAAAAACCCTAGTAAAAACCAGTTTCAAGTACAGAAAACCCAGAACTAAAGAAAACCAGAAAACAAAAAAACCTCAGAACTGAGAAAGAAGCGAACAATGGCGAAGAAGACAGACCAGTTTGGGAAGCTTCTAAGCACCCTAGGGGACTTCACTAGCAAGGAGAACTGGGACGAGTTCTTCAAAATCCGAAGCTCCGACGAGCCTTTTGAGTGGTACGCCGAGTGGGCAGAGCTCAAAGACCCTCTCATTTCCCAATTCTCACTCGACGAAGCGGAAGCTTTGAATGCGCAGATTCTCGTGCCGGGCTGCGGAAATTCCAGGCTCTCCGAGCACCTTTACGACGCCGGCTTCAGAGGAGTCACCAACATCGACTTCTCCAAGGTTGTCATCTCCGACATGTTACGCCGCAATGTCCGACTACGCCCCGGAATGCGCTGGCGCGTCATGGACATGACCAAAATGCAGGTTTGGCTTTCTCCTGAAATCAAGAATTGCACTTTTTGTTTTGGTTATCAGTTTGTTTACCAAATTGCGGATTAATTTGTCGGAATGTAACTGAGGATTAACATGTAAGTTCACTATGGATTATGGATGTTTTGTAGTTGACTAACGGGGAATTGCGAAGTCACCTATTGCTAAGGATAAAAATATTGTTACTTTTGGAAGATATTTCGACTGACATATCGAAAATATCGGGAAATTTTAGGAAGAATAATAAGAATTTTTGACATAAAAATGTTTAATTTATGGTTATCTGTATAATTGTTTTACGGAGGTGTCAACAGAAATGTCTGACATATCAAGGATATTTTCATCCTTGAGTAATCACTTGGTAATCAAAACTCAAACTCGGTTAAACGACTTGGTATAACTTATAAGTAACATACTATAGATCATAGAATTGATTATTATCATACCTTGTGATAGTTGGCTTCAAAATCAGAGTTATGTTGTTTTCATTATATGGTGGGTTCTGAATCTGCAGGGTGTGGAAATGGATGGATTTATTTGCTTTTGAATTGGTCTCTTTTCGACTTAAATTTCAATATTTTTTTTATTTGTTATTATTTGGTATAAGTAGAGTTCTCTAAAGTGAATGATTGAGGTTGTGAAAATGTGATTTGTGTTGTTCTTCTTTAACGGTCAATATGTGCTAATGGCCTGGTACGCAATGGAGTGCGGTATGAACATCCTTCAAATGCAAGATGTCTTCATAATTTAAATTGCAAATTGGATCTGAATCTCTCCTTTTTTTTTTTCCAGTGAAAATTAATGGTTTGGTTTTCTTTGAATTTGTGTCTTTTCGACTAGAATTTTGTCTGTCCAATTGGTTATTGTGTGTCACGACTGGAGTTCACTTAAGTCAAAGCCTGTGGGAATGATCAATGTTGAGAATATGTGATTGTTGTTTTGACGATATTCTTACATGACTCTTGCAATTTGGCAGTTTGAGGCTGAGACTTTTAATGTTGTACTTGATAAAGGGGGATTGGACGCTTTGATGGAGCCCGAGCTTGGTCCTGACTTAGGGAATCAATATTTATCAGAGGTGTTGTTCTAGACTCCAATTTAAGCCTATTTCGCTGTTGAATCAGTTTATCCAAGCATTAATTCAGTTTAATGGGCTACTGATTGTTTCATGTAACTACTTTTACTTACAGGTTAAAAGGGTTTTGAAATCTGGGGGGAAGTTTATTTGCCTTACATTGGCAGAATCTCATGTTCTAGGTACAAAATTTCCATATGAATCTGAAGATTTGTGCCAAACTAATGATCATTTCTGCATTCTATTAATTCCTCTTTCATTTTGCTTCCGACCTAGTTATCATGCCTATGGTGCACTCAGATATGAGATGGGCCATGAATGTGGGAATCATTTGTGAAACTTTTTTTTTTTCTTCTGTTGAAAACAATATTTCACAATTTTATTTGATGCATTTGCATATGCTAAGTTTGTTGTGGTCCTCCTTGTTCAGGTTTGCTTTTCTCCAAATTTCACTTTGGGTGGAAAATGACTGTTCATGCCATCCCTCAAAAACCATCTAGTAAGCCTAGTCTTCAAACATTTATGGTGGTTGCTGAGAAAGAGAAGTCAATTGTATTGCACGAGATAACGTCGTCATTCAATAATTCTTCTCTTGGTTGCAGTGGAGATCAGGTAGAGTAATCACTTGACTTCATTCTTCCCTCCCCACTCCACGCCCTCGCGCGACACAGGAGTATTAGTTTAGCAAGAACTTATGATGCACGTGCAAACTTTTTAGAATAAAATGTAAAGCGAGTCAGCTAGATGGCTAGTTGTTCAAGAATTTGCACGGTTCGAAACATGTTTGTTGCAAGTACTTGATATCCACTGCAGTCTACATTTCAATGCAATCTTGTTCTTCTAAATCTTGGAAACGCCAGTTTCTGCAAGCTTGACAGAAGTGCTATTCTTACTGTAGGCCCGGGGGCTCTTTCAAGCTCTTCAAAATGAGAATCAAATTCGAAGAGAACACTCCTCTGGTTCTGATATGTTATGCTCTATTGAAGACTTGAGTCTTGAAGCTAGACAGGACTTGGCAAATCTTAGCCAAGGCCGTCGGCTGCAGCTTACTTTGGGAGATCAAGGGAGTTCCCGATTCAGTTATAGAGCTGTTGTTCTTGATTCTCAGTCCCAGTTTGGCCCATTTCTATACCATTGTGGGGTTTTTATTGTACCTAAGGTGTGTCTCAGTTGTACCTACCTATTAAACTGCATAAAGACACTTTTGTTTATTTCTTTTATTCTTTATTACGTAAAATTCAGTTGAACATCACTTTAGCTTCAGTGTTCAACAAGTTGATTCTATTTTCATCTATTACTTTACTTGATACTTGATTTAGTACTAAATGTTAGGCATATTCCTGTAAACTTGTTCTGATTGAGTCCTTGGCTATGTCTGTTAGACCTTTTGGAATCCGATTTCCTTGTTTAAACTTGTCGCATGAACTAATTATTTAATGTGCTTGCTTTTGCTATTATTTTACCCATGAAATTTAAGACTTGTTATTTGAAAGTATTGGGAGTGTAGAAGTGTTGTAATGTAAGTTTCTTCACACATTAAGAAACCACGCAATTGTTGATATACTAAATATAAAAGGAAAATAGCGTAGTAATCACCGGTTTTAGAGTTCTGGCCAAAAAAAAAAAAACAATGGGCTAAGAGAACATGAGATTACGAGACTTTTCTAACGATATGTCTATTTCTGATGCTAATATAATTTAAATGCTATATCTTTCGTGATTTATACTCTACTAAAGTGGTGGATGATTACTAACTCCTTGCTAAATGGTCCCAAAGTTCATCTTGTGGATGGTCCCTTTATTCTTCACGGAACTATCCAATTGTTCTTTTTCGAAATATGTAACTGAATTTTAGATTCCAGACTCGAGGTCGTGAATGGCTGTTCTCCTCAGAAGAAGGTCAATGGATGGTAGTCGAAAACTCAAAGGCAGCTCGTCTCATAATGGTAGAAATTTTTATAACAGTGATGTTATCTTGTGAGTTCGTGCACAGATTGTTTAATGTTATAGCTAAATAAAGCTTATGTGCTGAATTAAGGTTTTATTGGACAGTAGCCATGCCAATGCCAGCATGGAGGATATTCAGGTAATCCCCCTTTCAGATTATGCACTGACAAATCCGGATTACTATGAGAATCTAGACATTGGTCTATTTACTAAAATCTCGTGTGTGGTTTGTACTTCAGAAGGATTTGTCTCCCTTGGTTAGACAATTGGCGCCTAAGAATGATGACAATCGTGCACAAATTCCGTAAGTATCTTGTATCATTTGATTTTTTTTTTAATTAATTTGTCATGGTGCCATCTTGACCATGATTTTTGAGTTATAAATTAAAGCCACTTTTCTGTCAATTTAACTTCAGCCTGGTCACTAACCAAAAAAAAAAAGAAAAGAAAAAAGAAATTCTGCTTGGTCTGACTGTCTTCCAAAGATAGTCTACAGATGGGTTGTTGAAGCATCTTGTTTTGACATTCTATATCTTAGAACTACTCAGCTACGAAATAAGGATAAAAGAACTTCGGAAGAGTATGTGCAGGAAAGGTAGTTGATAAAATCCCATTCTTTGGTTCTCAACCGCCCATTCCTCCACTGTTAGATTTAAATTTCCATGTAGCCCCGGTCTTTAACTTCCGTAGTTTGCTCACTTCAGACCCTAAGTTATCTCTCATGGCTCTTTTTTATTTGTCTTTGCTCCCGTCCTGAGAATTTGTTAACTAAACGTTGTTGTTCAGGTGTTTATTTTATTATTTTATTTATTCCCCTTTTATGTTCTTGTAATGTTCCCATCAAAACGTGATCATTTCAGTTAGGAACTATTTTCATTCCCACAGAATGTTTGTCAAATGTATAAGAACTCAACGTGATTCTCACTTTCATAGTTTTGATAAATGCAGTGTATCTAATCCTATAATTGTTATCTTAATATGATTCTTGCGCTGTATCCTTCCTTACATTAAAAGGAAAAGAAAAACCATTGTTCTGTAAGGCATTTGGAAACAATTCATCATCCATCTATGCTGTTGATAGGATTATGCTAGTTATGTTAGTAATTAGTTATCAATATAAGAAGTGGTTAGTGGTTTAGTTAGTTGGATTTTTGTTATGTGAGAATTAGTATAAAAGAGTGTTAGAATAGTAAGTCAGCGGGCAATTAGTGAATTGAAGTGAGATTTAGTCTCTAGGGAGAGATCAAAGCCTCTCGAAAGTTTTGAAACTATCTTGTATTCCATTATTTATGTTTTACTTCTTCAATACAAAAATCAGTTTAATTTCTTCTATATCTTGGTTCTTATCAGCTGTAATGCGTGTTTGTTAGTTCATGACTTTATTTTGCTTTTATGTGTTTATTATTTTGCAGGTTCATGACCACTGGTGATGGGATTAAGCAACGGAATATTGTTCATCAGGTTTGCATCCTCTCTCTCTCTCTCTCTCTTCAAAACTGTTACAGAGCTTAAGTTTAGATTATGTTAGAGGAAGCAACATCTGTGAAGAACTAGGCTGTTGATTTTATTTATTTAGAATCAAATGTCAGATAATAAATATCTTGGATAGTTTTAAGTTTTGGGTTCTTTAATGCTACGGTTTTAATGCAATTTGCTATAGATATGCAATTGGGATAATTCTGCTTCCCGAGCAAATTTGCTATAGATTTGGGAACCATGTCATGCATGATATCTTTTGTGGCAATGACATTCTCGCATTGCTGGTAAGGCCTATGTATAATTGTATATCCTGGAACTATCAACTTGTAAGCCTTGTAGGGGAAAACAAGGGAGCCTTTGTTTCTTCTGATGTTTAGAAATCTCATGGCAATTGACTTCGTATTTAGCAGCCTATATTTATGAGATTAGTGCCAATTTTTTATTGGTCCCTCCTTGATTTGGATTTTTTTTATTTTGTTTTTTTGTTTTGCTGTAAAGTAACTGGTAGTGGAGCTGTTGATTTTATTATTATTATTATTATTATTATTATTAATACATAATAATATTATGTGCCTGTAATTTCATCAACTCAGTTGATTGCATACACTCACTACATCTTCAGGTCACATCTTCGTTAACTGGGCCAATAGTCGTTGAGGATGTGGTTTATGAAAATGTTGATGGTGACATCAGTCGCATTCTACCGTCCAAAGACTTAATATTTCGCCGGCTCGTTTTTCAAAGGAGTGAGAATCTGGTGCAGTCTGAAGCGATACTCATAAAGGAAGAACCTGTTCGGAAGACTGGTGGTGGCAGTGAGAGGAAGAAATCTAAGAAAAAGGGCACTCAGAGAAGAAGTGATGGTATTGATCCATTTTTTTTCCCCTAATGTTAGTGTTAATTTATTTTCTTTTATGCTGCTAAACTTCCCTTTCGTTGTAATTTTATTTTTAAAATTCATGTAGAACTCGTTGAAAAGGTCCTTGTCTTGAAAATAGTTGGACCTTTTCTTTTGGTTATTTTATACCCTTAAAATGCTTGTTTTAACGCTTCTCTGCTCTCCTGCCCTTCTCTCCTAGGTGTCATGTATCTCCATTGTAAAGTGAGTGAGAGCTAGGTTTTGGTCAGTCTGATGGGGCCCATTAATATCAATAAAAGAATAGTTGAAAACCGTTGCCTGTTGAGTATGCATGGAAAATGGGTTAAAATGGTCATATCTCATTTGTGGGTACAAGCAAGCCTGAAAGTCAGTTTGGAGCTAACTTCGAGCTCTGAAGTTTTAAGCTTGGTCATGGTCAATTCTGAAAAGTAAAACGTAAGAAAAGCTCATGATGCAGATGTATGATTTGGCATGCTAATTATTCTTTTGTTTTGTTTTCTGTCTATCCTGGAAGTGTTGCCGAAGGAAATAAGGTCATGTAGACATATAATATGGAAAACGTACAGAAAAATGAAAATATAAAGTGATAACAACTAAAAATAAGAAATATGAAGAGGATTAATGACTATTCTTTTGAAATCCAGTTATGGCTTTCATCAGTGGTCAAGAATTTCTATCCATGCTAAAGATTGTCCTATGCATTTATTACAAGTTGGTTATAATTCTTAATTCATAGCGGTTAGGGTACATGGTTAATTTCATCCAGTATCCTTATAGAAAAATATGGTTGTTTATTGTTTGTATCTGTCTGTCGTCTTCCAATTTCTTTTATGGTCTTCTTCTATCCCTGCGTAGCAACAATTCAGCCACTAATGTCTTACTTCTTCCATTTCTTTGTTAATATAGAATCATGCAACCAGCTGAAGGTCTATCATGGCTATTTGGCTAGTTCTTATCATACTGGGATTCTTTCTGGGTTTGTTTTGATTTCTTCGTATATGGAAAGTGTGGCATCAAGCAACAAATCAGTAAGCACTTATACGTTTTAGTCTTGTTTTTTATTTTATTAAAAGGAATTCGTTGGGATTTTAGGCCTTATTTATGATGAGTTAGAAAAAAGAATAATTTTGATTTATTTAAATCACACTTTTGCTTATTTAGGTCTTTTACAGCCCTAATAACTTTTGGATCTGCATTTTCTCATGTTTTGTTACATGGAAAGTCTTTTAACTCAACTGACTTTGTTGACCACAATAATTGTTATTTGTTCCTATTATTTTGCTAGACTTGTTCATTGTTTTATTGGCCATACTTGTTGTTTATATCTATATAAAACAACCTATTCAAACTCAATGGTGCATGCAATCTTCAAATTCAAAATTGAAGAGTCTACTTTTCCCTTGTCTACGATAGTCACTAATTTCGATGTTCAAACTTTTTTCCCTTTCCATTTTTAGTGACTTTTGTTCTCTTTGTATTACCGCTAAAATTCTGAAACTTTTTTCAGGTTAAAGCAGTTATAATTGGTCTCGGAGCAGGTTTACTCCCTATATTCCTTCATGGATGTGTTCCGTCTTTGCACATTGAGGTAATCCTTTTTATCTTGCTGAACACACATGCGTAGGCGAACTAGTCTTATATCTTTCTTGGGAATCAATTTCAATTTTTGAGAAATGAGGTTGTAATTAATGGTATATAGGTGGTGGAGTTGGATCCTGTGATCCTCAATCTTGCAAGGGACTACTTTGGTTTCACTGAAGATGAACATTTGCAGGTAGGTTCAATCTAATGATGCTTTCTCTCTGTATTTTGTGATTTTGAGTAAAAGAAGAATTTTCAAGCACTAGTTAATAATTTCATAAAAGTCGGTCCAACTCTCAAAGACCTTATGCTCCCCGATATCTTTATGCTCATCAATAAATTTCCTTCTTCTTGCTAACATCAATGTGTTATAAGTATTCAATGTTAAAGAGCTTTGATTAATCTCCAGAAGTATTTGAGGTTAGGGACTCTGCTTCTTGTCTGCTGTTTTCTTATTAGTCAAGTCTCATTACTTACTGCTCAAAGATTTCCTCCAAACGCTTGCGTGTGTATAATTGTGGTAAATAATGTGGCCCAGGGGAAAAGTGTCGTGACAATACCCAGTTTCACGAACACCAATTCACTGCTTACCTTTACAGTCTGTCCTTTATAAGTTGATCCAGAATAGTTGGTGACATGGTGGGGTGTCCACCAATGATTCTTAACTGGACTATTTTTATTATTTTAAACCCTGGAAGATTTCTGAATAAGAAACAAAGCTCGAATGCGAACGTTAAATGAGATGGGATTACTCGTGCAATTTCATATAAGTTTTTGAAAGAAGCATTTAGTTGAAACTGAGAAAGAGTATAATAAAAGAAGACAAGAGGAAGCTTATTGGGAAGCCAAATATGACATGGGTGCTATGGCCTAGAAATAAAAGAAGACTTGGAAAGGCTAATATTCTGAAGACCAAAGCTTTAGGAAGGAAGCACTCAGCTTTATATGATGCTGAGTTCGTCCATATCAAGATCTATTGTTGTGATTATGTCGTTCTTTGGTGTGGTTAATACTTCAAAGTAGCTAGGTTAGCATGGCCCAAAGATTGATCAGGGCCCTACTGATGAATGATAATGCATAAGATATGGTTACCGTCTTTACCATTCACCTCTTACTATATTGTGAATGCATGTTCTGAAAGAATTTAGAACATTATGCTAAGTTTTGTTGCCCGCCAGTTGGCAGTTTTCTTTACTTAATTACAGCCTTGATTCGATTATCTGTGCCAACGTTCACCACTTCTAGATTTTATTTGGGGTATCAGGTACATATTGCTGATGGTATCAAGTTTATTAGAGAGATTACGGGGTCTTCACCAGCTGATGAAGTTTCTGTTGTTCATGGAGATGGGAATTCTCTCAGTGATGCAGAGCAAACTTCTATAAATGGAAGTTGCATATCTCATGAAGAAGGCAGGGCGAATGCAAAGGTCGACATAATCATAATTGATGTCGACTCTGCAGACTCAAGGTGAACGAAATTATATGTATACATATATGCCTGTGTGTGTGTGTGTGTGTTTATATATGCATTAATGGAGAAACTAGGGAATTTCTCTAAGAATAACAAGGGGCAGGAATAAGAGGAACAGGATGGGCCAACAAGAGAGATCTTTTTATGCATGTTGCATTTCTATGCATCACTAATAACTATTTTCAGACGGTAGCATGGGAATTGATTCTAATGGATATTACTTCTTTGTGCACAGTTCTGGGATGACATGCCCTGCTGCAGATTTTGTGGAAGACTCGTTTCTTCGGACCGTAAAGGAGAACCTTTCTGACAAAGGTCTATTTGTTATAAATTTAGTTGCACGGTCCCAAGCCATTAAGGACAACGTGGTTTCAAGGATGAAAGAGGTGAGAACGAAGATTTCTTATTCACATTTTTCATCAATCTTTTCGTCATTATTCTATAGGATTTTGTCCAATAAATGTGTCGTCGAAATTCCCCGTCGATGTCATATTATCTGTAGGGTTTTGTATGAACTCTCTTATTTAGATTATCTGTCTTATGTATCACTTGAAATAAAGTGTAACTTGGAGTTTTGTGATTCTCTTATTCAGGTCTTCAACCATCTATTCTGCCTTCAAGGTGAAGATGTGAATGAAGTTATTTTCGGTCTTTGTTCAGAGCCCTCCATGAAGGAGGATTGCTTCTCAGAAGCATCTTGTCAACTCGAGAAATTATTGAAGTTTCAACACCCAGAAATGCGCCAATGCGTTATAGATGCTGCAAAGAAAATCAAACGATTGAAGTGAATCAGAGCTTATTAAAAAACCTTCCTCAATTGAATTTTACATGAGGTCGGTCCTCTCGAATGGTATCAGGTTGAAGAGCAAGCTTTTGCAGATTTTGAATGGAAAAAAAAGCACCAGAAGCTGGGCAGCTTTAACAAGGCCGACTCATACAGGGAACATGTTTACATGGAAATGGAACAAAAATTGGTCTGCTATAGAGCTACATATCAGAGAGTATTTGTTAAAGGGTGCTCCAGTTCCCTAGATGTGTTGATTATTCTCATTAACTGCATGGATGTGAAAAAATTGAATGCAATCAAGGATGGAGAACTTGAAATTTTGATATATATTTTTTTAATTTGTATTATTTTTGGAACTACTGATATCAAAAGACAGATGCAATATTGTTTCGCAGATCATCGAAAAACAGTGGGTAAATATTAGTATATTTCGATATTTCATGGAAATCAGCGATTTCAGTGCCAAATAGTGATTTAACAAAATTTTGGTGAAAAATTGATCATCACAAAATTGGGTTTGACTCACAAGAAACAATAGGCATAGATTGAGAGAAATATATATATGACATGTCTAACGCAACAACCGACATAGAAAGCTTATTCACTGGTCATAACCTCAGTATGCCATATATTCACTGGTCATTTTCTTATCCTTGTTTCATATTCTTTTTCTAGTTAAGTTAGTCCCAAATGTCCATCTCATAGATTTGTTGTCGTATTTATCTCTGGCTTCAGGAATGTTGATCCTCCTCATGGAGCAGAAAATGAACATGGATGACCATAAAGAATGTGAAGAGACATACACGTCTATAGCATAAACCACACTTGCATGATGTATGTGTTCTAAGTTGAGGAACTGTGAGGCTTTGAAATGTTAAATTGTATTTTTGTCCTTCAATAGGAAAAGGGGAGAATTGTGAGGCTTGCAAATGTTAAACTTAGGCAAAGATACATTATTAAGATTCAAGATTGTAAGATTTTAGTACATAATAATTGGTCACACGTCATCATTGTAAACCTTTTTTTAAATAAAAAAAGAGCAACACTAGATTTAACAACAACAACAACAAGCCGTAATCCCAACTTAATTGAGATCGGCTATATGGATTTTATTTTTCCGCGCAGCTCTGTTCGAAATTAGACTTTCCTGAAAACCTAGATCTAAAATGTCTTTATTAACTACTTCGGTCCACGTGATTCTTGGTCTACCCCTCGTCCTCCAAGCACGAATTGGTGCTTCTAGCGGTGTTGGACATGCTCGTACCATCTCAAGCGGCCTTCGCGCACTAGATTTAACATGTCCTATTTTCTTTTTTGAAGTAAAGCGGCAAATTTCAATTGGCGAAATCGGCACAAATAAACGGGGCAACAAACCTAGGAATAGCATCGCCACTAACATGCCAACAGCAGAATGAAAACCAAAAGACTCCAACACATGAGAAACCGAGTTATCTCCCCTAAAAACATGAACACATTCCCCATTAGCTGAAGACTTCAACCATCTAATGGTATCTTCCACTATAACACCTTCTTCAGCTAAAGAGGAACCTCCTTCACTGCATGAACAACCCTTAATGCATCAAGCTCAGCAACATCGACCTGGAATACACGCGACTGCGGAAATATGGGAAAATTGATTGAAACAAATCTGGAATTAAGCACTTATCAACCTATGACTGCAATTTACAACATTTACTCATTAAGTTTCCAAAATCTTAAGACCACATTTAAATCGTACAACTATTTGTGCATTCATTCAATCTAGTGATGTCGGAAATATCAAAGCCTGCTCCAATTCCAAACTCCGGTACCCGATCATATTATAAAATCACTTTGCATACTTATTTTGCCAAAAACAACCACTATAAAATTATAGCATACAAAACTATGTTACACTTGATGTTCGTACATAAACTCAAAACCTTGAAAACAGACTAGATCTAACATGACCTAAGTAGTATATAAAAACATAAATAATCAAATCTTAACCTCACCCCCATTGACAATTACTGTATGGATACTTCAAGCTTAAGAGCATGAATGCTTTTCAAAGACTTCCATGTCACGTGATTAGGCACTAGTCCATTCTGGATCATGTCCTTGAGAAGCTTGAGAGCGACATCAACTCTTTTGACCTTTAAGTAACCGTGAACCAAGGTGTTATAGGAAATGGTGTTAGGAAGAGCACCCTTTACTGCCATCTGATCGAACACGTCTTTGGCTTTGCCCATTGCACCTTGCAAACAGTAGCCCTTGATCAAGGTGTTGTAAGTAATTGTATCAAGCGCCTTGCCATGTTCGACCATTGCCTGAAATAACTTTTCAGCCTTATCCATCATCCTTTCATTGGACAGAGCATTCAAAATTATGTTTAGAGTGCTAGTATCAGGAAAAGTATTCTGATTCGCCATTTCATCAAACAATCTCTCAGCTTCTTCCAATTTACCCGAATGACACAATCCGCTTAGTAAAGAGTTGTAGGTGATAACCACAGGCAACAAGCCTTTATTAGTTATTGCTTCCGCAAGATCAAGTGCCTCTTGGGTCTGTCCTTCCTTGCACCGAGCATCCAACATAGTATTGAATGTAACAATATTAGGAGAGATTCTATGTTCCGACATGCTTTCCAAGAATTCTATCGCTTCATTCCATTGACCGCACTTGCACAAACTAGAAATCAAAGAAGTGAATGTGACAACATTGGGTTCTATGCCTCTCCCAGTCATTAATTCAAGTACTGAAATTGCTTCTAAAGTTTTCTCTTCCTTGCAAAGAGAATCTATTAAGGTAGTAAAAACATGTACATCAGGCGAAATCCCGCGATCAAGCATGTCAACCAAGAATCTCTTGGCTTCTTCGCACCGACGCAATTTGCTTAATCCATGAATTATGGATGCATAACTAATAACATCTGGGGGAACGCCACGGTTGATCATATCTTTAAACAAGCTCAAGGCCTCATCCATCCTTCCTTTCTTACAAAGGCCATCAATGATTGGATTAAAACATCCTACAAACGGTTTAACCCTTCCATTGTCATACATTTGCTTAACCAACTGGATTGCCTTATGAGTTTCTCCAGCCTTACAAAACCCGTTAATCATAGTCGCGTAAGTGATCTCATTACATTCCTTTTCCTCCACTATTTCCTGAAACAACTCCGTCGCTGAAACCATCGAGCCTTCCTTGCAAACCCCATGAAGCAAAGTACTTAGCGTGCGAGAATTCTGCCGAATTCCACTCTTAAGTATAAACGCTAAAACAGAGAAACCCAAATCTACTCTCTCTAAACGGCATAAACATTTAATAACAATATTCATTGTACAAACCTCAGGCCGAAAATAATCAGAACCCACCATTACTCTATACATAGAGACAACAGTGGAATACTGGTTCATGTTGGAGAGTGAGCCAAGCAACTGATTGAAAGCCCAAATGGAGGGCACGGGTCGCGTTTGAATCATGGAATTGAAGTAACCCAATGCTTCTTCTACTGTTAGGTTTCTAGATTTACACCGTTCTTGGACAAATTTCTCCAAATGGGTAATACAATCGGTATTCATACTAGAGGTATAAGAACGAAATTGGGAAGTGAAAATCTCAAAGAGAGAAAAGATGTGAGAAATACCGGCAGTTCTTCTTATGGTGAGCACTTGGGTTTGCATGGTCTGCAATTTCAGAACCGAAAGCTGGCGTTCTTGGGTTGAAGATGAAGCATGGGGAAGTACGGACACCGCTGCGAGAATACCGGAGGATCAATGGCGGCCACTTTGGACACGTATAAGAAACCGCAATGTGGTTTTTTTCGTTCAACCAAACGCCGTCTTTGGGTTCAAATTTTTCAACAAAAACACGGTCGTTTTGGTCCTCCTGTTTTTTTTTTTTTTTTTTTTTTTTTTTTTTTTTTTTTTTTTTTTTTGCCTTTGTTCTAAAATTTATTTATTTTTATTTTAGCCTTTTTTTTAACATTTTTTTGGCCTTTTACCTTAACATTTTATTTTTTTAATTTTAGTTTCTTTTACCTTAAGACATTTAATTTTTCATTTTAATCCTTTGTTTAGCACTTTTTTGCCTTTGACCCTAAAACTTTATTTTTTTTAATTTTGGTTTCTTTTGTTGCCTTTATCCCAAAATTTTATATTTTTTATTCCTGCCCTTCTTTTTGAGTTTTTTTTTCATTTACTCCGATTGATTTTTAATCATACTTAGATATTTCTCTTTAGTAATGCTCTAAACTAATATTGTACTAAAAGTTATTCCCACAAATTTTTTTTTTTCTAAACGTCTCACTAAATTAAATTTTTACTTAAACTTTTTCGTAGCCTTCTCGATCACTACTTTTTCATAGATATCATTTTTTTAATTTGCTCATCTTGCATTATTTTTTTTTTCCTAATGTGTCCTTACTTAACTATTTTTTAAGTCTTTCAAAATATTACTACATCAAAAGTGATTCTCAAAATACTTGATTTATTGCTCATGAAAGTAAATATTTTTGAATATATCCTCACCTGAATAATTTTTTCCCTTAACGAACGGAAGTGTAAAATACTGATACTACTATAGCGCTTTAGACTACAATAATTCATTTTGGTGGAAAGTGGTATTCTTTTTTTTTTTTCTTTTAATTCCTCCTTCATCTTTTATTTCTTTTTTGGTCCTTCCTTGCTCTTCCACTTTTTCTTTGGGTCCTTCCTCTCTTTTGTTTTTCATTTTTAATCCTCCCTTCTTATTTTCTCTCATTTCTTTTTTTTTTGTTCCTCTTGACTGTTGATTTTGAAAACGATTTTCTATGCGGATTGTGTATAAATCTTTTTTAATAAACCTTTAAGATATTCTATAGAATACATTAATTTATGTACGAATAAATTGATCAAATTAATTTATTGATAAATTTACCTAGCGAACGATTAGGTTGATAACTTGAATTCTTTGACAACGAACGTTCCTCGCTCCAAGCTTGTTTAGAATAGCCGAATCTTCCTCGTCAATTCCTTGAATCTACAAAGACGTGTGTGTGGACACACCTTAAACAAAACGGAATTAGCACTCAAACACTCACGTTTTTCACGAACACCAATGCATGCACGACGTGGAATTTGGGAGAAAATTTTCATTTTCCTCACTATAAAATCAGCCACTCTATGCTAGGGAGAGCAAAAAATTGTGTTCTCCAATTTTCTGCAATATCCTATTTATAGAGTAGTCCCAGAATAAGTCTAAACTTTATCTCCAAGATAAAGCTTGATAATTATCTCCCACTCCTATTTTATATTAGAAACAATACCCCTCTCTCATATCCTATTAGGCTGGTCACCACAGGGATATTTCCCCCTGTGGTTGGTGCAAATTATAGATAGGGAAGGAGAAAAAATTCTCCTTTATCCTACAGTCTAATTTTGACTCAAATTTAAATTCTAATTAAAGTCAAACTTAATTTAATTTGAATTCCAATTGGACAACTTATCAAATAAGTCAATTGGATAACTTAGAGAACAAGCAACTAAATCCCAGAGGGATTCTCACAATGCTGGGCATGTACACCATGTTGACTCCCCTACATGTGTGCTCCAAAATTCAAACTTAAATAATCACATTATTTAATTTATAATTAATTCTTAATTAATTATCTTTGAGCATTATTTTTAGAATTTTATAATTCTAAAAGTTCCATTTTGCTCTTATTGTCTTGTAGGATTACAAGGACAATGTGGGAACTCATGGACCTATGATTCTGAGCACTAATGAAATTAATAATTAATTAAAACTCTTTAATTAATTAATTAATTCTATTAATTCTAGAAGTTGCTCCACTATAAACTTGGAATTGCACTCTCGTATTTATAACTATAATTTACTTGTAAACTGTGAAGTATCTATTTGATATAGCCATTACATATAGATCAATCATCTATAAATAATTCATAATTAAAGCTAGGTGAAATCCGTTAACCTTTCTAATTACATCTTTATCCTTGACACTGTTTATTCTTTATTGGATAGTGATTCATAAAACAAATTCATGAATTGCAACTCCTACTAGTCCAAGTTATGAGTCAATCCTTAGAAGAATTACTTATCTATTTCTTTCTCAAGAAGGAATGGATTCCATCTCGAATATTAACATTCCTGGCTACCTACTGTTGGTTTCTGAAACGATTTCGGATGCAAAAACGTGTGTCTAGCAGATCGTGTATAACAAAACTTTTCATAAAACTTTGAGATACTCTATAGATTACATTAATTTATGCACGGCTAAATTAATGAAATTAATTTATTTACCTAACGAATGATTAGGATGATATTTAATTCTTTGATCTCGAACATTCTTCATTCCAAGCTAGTTTAGAACACTCGAATCTTTCTTGTCAATTCTTTAAATCTACGAAGATGTATGTGTGGGCACACCTGAAACATAATGAGATTTGTGAATAAATACTCAAGGTTTCCACAAACACCAACACATGCACGGTGTGAAATTTTTGAGAAAAAATTTTCCTTTACACTCTATAGAAACCAGCCACTATTACTAGAAGGGAGCAAAAATTGTGTTCTCTAATTTCTGTAATCTTCTATTTATAGAGTAGTAGTCAGACTCCCAGCAAAAATAGTCTAATCTTTATTTTTAAGATAAAGTTTGATAATTATCTCCCACTTTTAATTGAATTTTTGAAACAAAATCTCTCTTTTTAATCCACATGTTGGCCGGCCACCACAAGAGAATTCCTCCCTATGGCAGGTGCATATAGCAAATAGAGAATGGGGCAAAATTCTGCATTTATCCTATAGTCTAATTTTGACTTAAATTCAAATTCAAATTTAAGTCAAAATAAAATTAATTCGAATTTCAATTGAACAACTTATCAAATAAGTCAAATTGGTAACTTGAAGAGCAAGCAACTAAATCCCAGAGGGATTCACATTTTGCTGAGCGTTCACACCTGGTGAACACTTTTACATGTGTGTTTTAAAATTCAAATTTAAACTTAAACTTAAATAATCACATTATTTAATTTATAATTAACTCTTAATTAATTATCCTTTAGCGTTATTCTTAGAATTTTAAAATTTCTATTTTACCCTTGGTGTCTTGTAGGATTAAAAGGATGACGCGAAAACTCATAGACCTATGATTCCAAGCTCCAATAAAATTAATAATTATATAAATACTCTTTAATTAATTAATTAATTCTATTAATTTCAAAAGTTACTCCTTTATAAACTTGAAATTATACTCTCGTAATTATAGAGATAATTTACTTGTAAACTGTGAAGTGTCCATTTGATATAGCCGTTACATATAGATCAATCCTCCATAAATAATACATAATTAGAGCTAGGTGAAATCCGTTAACCTCTCTAATTACATCTTTATCCTTGAGTACCATGGATTCTCTAATGGACAATGATTTATAAAACAAATTCATGAATCAGAGCTCCTACTGGTCCAAGTACCGAATTAACCTTCAAGAGAATTATTTATTTACTTCTTTCTCAAGAAAGAATGGATTCCATCTCGTATAATAACATTCCGGGCTACACGCTTCATCATGTCTCTAAAATATAAGTAATAGGATTCAAGATCTCGGTTGCCGTACCAAGTAAATCAAAAGACACAAATCCATAAATAGGAGTATGCTAAAACTCAGGATTAAAATTATTCTATATATGACCATCAGTAAACTCAATTAGAATTTTTATACTTAATGAAAATTATTAGAAATTCATATTGTGTCTATGTCCCTGTTCCACATAATCTCATTATGCGTAATACACTCATTCAATATGTCACCATATGAACAGTACGGATAACACCGTTCCATTATAAGTGAGAATGACATGTATTAGTAATGTTTTAAATTAAAGATTCTGAACTTTTAATTAAATTCATTTCGAGCATTGTTTGGATTATTATCCTTAAATATCTCTTGCATATAACACTTATATACAATTTTTAAAGTCACATAAGTAATCATGAAATTTTTACTGATATTCATAAAATTTCATTAATATATATGTACATAAAATAATGAATAAACTCTTTTATTGAATAAATAATAAATATCCTATTACATCTCATGCTTTTAGGTCACCATTCTCAACAATCTTTCACTTGTCCTAAAGTAGGTGTGACATGTCTCTTATCCTAAATCCTTCTAAGTGTCTATCAAATACATTTAGTGGAAATGTCTTTGTGAACAGGTCAACAAGGTTGTTTTCTGACGCGATCTTCAGAACCGCTACATCGCCTCTCTTTACAATGTCTCTAATAAGGTGATATTTCCTTTCAATATGTTTAACACTCTTATGACTTCTAGGTTCTATTTAATTAGCCACCGCTCTACTGTTTTCACAATAAAGCTTAATTGGCTAATCCATGCTTGAAACAATTTTCAGATCAATCAAGAACTTCCGGAGCCATGTAGCTTCTTTTCAACTTCACAAGCTGTAACATACTTAGCTTCTATTGTAGAGTCAGCAACACATTTTTTCTTTAGACTTCTTCATACCACGGCTCCTCCATTAAGAGTGAATACAGATCCAGATGTCAACCATCGACAATCTCTATCAGATTAGAAATCAGAATTTGTGTATCCGATGAGAGACAGATGTTTTCTGGAATATACCAACATATAATTTCTAATTCTCCTAAGATACTTGAGAATACACTTCACCTTAACCTAATGATCTAATCTTGGGTTGGATTGGTAGCGACTGACTATTCCTACTACATAGCAGATATCCGATTGTGTACACATCATGGCATATATGAGGCTGC